ACAAATCACGCGGCCTGTCAGTTCTCTCAAATGTCCATGCATGGAACTGTCATGTGGCTATATATCAGGGCTGTCCAGTTCTGAGATGAATTGATTTGTCGATGCGGAGCTATAGAAATAGGTACATCCTTCCGGTATAACTTTGCTCTTTGCTAGATAAGGCTTAACAGCAAATTTCTCATTCCCTTTCCAAGCAGATATTCTTTCTTCATTTGCTGATATGTAATAAATAGCTGGGGCCAGTTCTTCTATGAGTGTAATTCAGCATAGTTCCAACAAAGTAAATAGCACAATTCTGATTTTCACTAGTTGAAGAATTGGCTCCATAGTTCCGTCAAAGTTAACATGCTTTTTTGGGTAGCCTGCAGAATATTGTTCCAGACCCAGCACTTAGGGTATGTCTTTCAGTAGAGCTACCTCAGTTGATCTGCATCAGGTTTCTTCTAGTCCTGGCATGAGCAGCCACACTTCAAAATCCTACCAAAGTTACTGTGTCCCTACTGGTGTTGCGCTCTCCCATGTATGCCACTAGCACTTCTGGGGGCTCATCCCCTGATTCTTAGCACTGCACTAAACTGAGTTGCTCTCTGGTTCCCAGGAGACAGTTTGTCCTTCTGAGCATGCGTGGAGAATTGTATGAAAGCACTGGAGGACCATCAGTGTTAGACTGACTTAGCCCGTGCCCACACTGCAAACTGGTCAGGTTACCAGTCCAAATGAAAGGAGCACTCGGGCTGTACCACCACCCCAGCTAGTTACGGTTGAAAGTACTTCCAGACTTGGGTAGAGGGTTATGGGTGTATGGAGGGGGGAAGGTTTTAGAGGCAACCCCCAAGTAATGGCCAGGACATAACTCTGCATGAAGACAGCCCCTCAGAGATGATCACAATCTGCTTTCCACGATGGAGTAACAATTTGGAACTCTTATAAAGCATGTCAAAGACTTTCTGAAAATCCAAGTACTCTGTATGGATGGCGGTCAGCCTTCTCCACACACTTGCTGACTTTCTCAAATAATTTAAATAGATTGATTGAGGCATGATTCCCCTCTCCAAAAGCCATATTGACTCTTCCTCGACAAATTATGTACATGCCATGTGTCTGATCATTCTGTTCTTCGCTATCATTTCTACTAGTTTGCCCAATATTGAAGTTAAGCTCATTGGTCTGTGATTTTCTATATCGCCTCTGGAACCCTTTTGAAAAACCAGCACTATATTAGCTACCTTCCAGTCTCCTGATACAGAGACTTGCTTCAACAACAGGTTACCTACAACAGTTGGGAGTTTGACATTTGAGTTCCTTTAGAATTTTTGGGTGAATACCAGCTGGTCCTGGCAACATTGCTGTTTAATTTATCAGTTTGTTCTAAAACCTCTTCTGTTGACACATCAATATCAGCATGGGACGGTACGTCAGCTCTGTCACCCAAAAATAATTGTTCTGATGGGGGAATCTTCCCCACGTTTTCTGAAGTGAAGGCTGATGCAAAGAATTAATTTAGTTTCTCTGCAATGTCTTAGTCTTCTCTGAGAGCTCCTTTCCAGGGTATGGACCAGTGCTCATGTTGTACTCCGCCCCCGCCTCTCCCCCCTCCCCGTCAGTGTCCAACCCATGCTGGGGAAGCTAATGATCCAACCAGCAAACCAATTTTGGTGATGAATCTATTTAAAGTATGTTGCACACATGCTGCCATCAGCATCTTTGTCTTCTAGTGACCCCACTGCTTGCTTGGCAGGCTTCCTGCTTCTGATGTGCTTTCAACAATTGTTACTGCTAGTAGTTGTGTCATTAACAAGTTGCTTCTCAAATTCTTTCTTAGCCTTCCTTATTATACTTCACCTGCCAGACTTCATGCTCCTTCCAATTATCCTCAATAAGTTTTGACTTCCAAATTTTAAAGGATGCCTTTTTGCATCTCAGGGCATCCATTACTCTGCTGCTTAGCCATGGTGGCATTCTTTTGCTCCTCTGATTGTCTTTTCTGGTATGGGATATATATTTAGTTTGAGCTTCTGTTGTTATGGAGTTTTTTTAATAGCTCCCACACTGCTTGCAGGCATATAATCATAAAACACTAGAACTGGAAGGGACCTCGAGAAGTCATCAAGTCCAGTCCCCTGCATTCAACCCATGTGATGGCTCCTTCTAATTTCCATCTAACAAGCATATTTCTCTTTGCATAGTTCCCTTTTTAAAGATAAATGTTACCACGGCAGGGGTGTTTTTGGAAAAACGTAACAAACAACAAATAGTCTGGTAGCACTTTAACGATTAGCAAAACATGTGGATGGTATCATGAGCTTTCGTGGGCACAGCCCACTTCTTCAGATGACCGGAGTGTTGGAAGTCTTATTTCCCTCCTACATGGATGTTAAATTCAATACATTATGGTTGCTGTTACCAAGCAATTCAGCACAATTAGTTCTCGGATCAGATTCTTTGCGCCTTTGTAGACTAAATCAAGAATTGCCTCTCCAGAACCAGTGGCACCAAAAAGCCGTCATTAATGGAATCTAGAAGTTTTATCTTTGCATTATGCCCTGAGGTTAAAGTTGCCCAATCAATACGAGCATACTTCAAATCAGCCATTATTATTATGCTTTCTGCTTCTCTGGTCCTCTAATCTCCTTGAGTATTTCACAGTCGCTGTCATCATAGCAGTCAAGTATTATTCAGTAGCGTGTTCCTGCTGCTAGGTTCTTTTTATTCAAATATGGAATTTCTGTGCATAGCGATTCTGTGTATTACCGGTTTTTACATATGTCCTATCAGAGTGATGTCTGTGCACTCCTGGTAATATTTTCAAAAGTGACTTAGGGTATGTCTACACTGCACACTAAGTCCAGGCTTTGACTCAGGTTTCACACTGCTTCCATCCATACACCACTCTATCCAACTTGATTCAACAAACATTCAGGAGCCTGGTTCTAGGGCCCTGCTAACGGGATGGGTTGGAGCCCCAGTCCTGCTGAGATTGTGGGTTAGCACAGCAGAGACCCCCTAGGTCCAGCAATTGGAAGCTGAGTTTTTCAATGCAGTGTGGACACTTAACCCCCGCCTTGGAAATTCTGAGTCCACAAGCCTGGAACCCACCGCTCTACATTTGCAATGCAGTGTAGACACACCCTGTGTGACTTAGGCGCCTCAGTCCCATTTGTAAAAGTGACTTAGGCACTCTTGAGCATGAAAATTGAACTAACAAATGTAGAACAATGTACAAAAATAAGTGCATGCACAACTAACACAATGCTGGCTTGGCCTGGGAGGGCTGCGGAACATGCTCTGTGAGGGAGTTTGGGTCTGGAAGAGAGCTTGGGACAGGCTTTCACGTGCAGGAGAAGCTGGGGGGTGCCGGATGCGGGGCACTCACCTCCAGCAGCCCCCGCAAGAGGCTCCATGTCCCTTCTGTTGCTGGCAGAGGTGCAGCCAAGTGGCTTTACAGGCATACTGCCTCCATCCTCCCTCCCCGAGCAGACTGGGGCTCCCAGTCCATTGGCCAGGAGCAGCAGCCAATGGGAGCTTCAGGGGGGTGGCACCTGCAGATGGAGGCAGCATGCCTGCTTGCAACGGAGCCTCCTCCATTCCTCCACCATGAACAGTGGGGACAGGGAGCTGCTTTTGGGGGCTGCTAGAGGTGAGTGCCTGTCCTCCAACCAGCACTCCCGAGTCCCTCCCGTGCCCCAACCCCTGCCAGACCCAACCCCCCTTCCAGATCCTGTTCTCCACAGCCCCTCCTATGCCCCAGCCTCCTCCACCTCACCCCTGTTCTCCAAACCCCTCCCTCTTAGTTAATCGACATTTTCAATGTACCCCCCCATTCCTCCTGCATGCTGGGTAAAAGGCCTTTTACCATAAGTGACCAGAATTTTCAGGGGTGCTGACCATCTATAGCTCCTAGTGATGTCATTGGACTCCTACACATTCACACAGCTCCCTCATTGCCCTTCAAAACCCTTCATCTCCCCTCGCCTTTGCTGCCGTGCCTACAAAAACTTGGTGACGGTTAGGCAGCTGGCATGCCAAGATCACTGCCCATGACGCTAATTGGGGCTGTCATTGTTTCCTTGTGTTCCCTCATTTGTTTGTCTCCATCTGTTGTGTCTTGTCTAATGTTTGGCTCACAGGCTGTCTGGGACAGGGACTGTTATAGAGTTTAAATCCAGAAGAGATTGACAGACTATCTAGTCTAATCTGACAGGCCACCAAACACCACCCAGCCAATAAGCCAACAACCAAACTCAGATCAAAGTAGTACAGCCTTCAGGAGACTACCCCATTGTGTGCCACAAACAGAGGAAAGGAGACTCAGGTGTACCAATGCCTCAGGCCCCTGCAATGGCATGGCATTAACTAAGACAGACCCAGAAGATCCTGCGCCCATGGTAGCCATGCCACATGCAGCCCATCGGGGTTCAATGTGTGCCCCACATGACATTTTGTTTACTGTCAACCACATGCAGGGTTGCCAGATTCCATCCAAGTTGTTTTTTTCCTACCAGCATTGCTAAAGAGGCACGCACCTATAGCCAAGGTAAACGAAGGGAGGTGCATGCTGTTTGCGCACAACATGGCGAGGGTCGGGCGCTCCCTCTGCATCCAATCACAGCACTGCTCTGGTTCAGTTGGCACCGCCCGCAAATTCTAGGTATACAAGCATAGTGAGCAATACTGCCCTATCCCAGGAGACCCTCTTGGTTATGACAGCCTTGCGGCCCACTGAAGGAGGGTTGCTCGTGCGGCCTACTCACTAGCCTCGACTTCCTCAAGGTCTCTGCCAATCCGAGCAAGCCTTGCGGCCCACTGAAGGAGGGTTGCTCGTGTGGCCTACTCACTAGTCTAGACCTCCTCAAGGTCTCTGCCAATCCGAGCAGATAGAAAATTCCTTTCACTTCAGTTGGAGTCAGGCTCACTGTCTATGATTATTCATGTCTCTTCTCAGTATGCCTCATCATTTTATGACTGTTTTAGCTCACTGATCTTTTCTTTGCCTTTTCCAGATAAATTTTGTATTTCTGTTTAACATCGTTAGGATTTTAATGACGAAACTGAGAGCGTCGACCACTTCAGAGACAATACAGTACAGGTAAGTTGACCAGTGCCTTTTACAATTGTTACAAGAAATGTTCTGACCTTCTCTGTGCAGGGTGTACATGTTGGGGTGTTATTCATTAGCTACCTAAGAGGCTGCATACTCCGCTAATTGCCCTAACATTGCGCTATGTTTGTATTTTGGGACTGTACACGTAGGCTGCATAGCTGATACTCCTTATTATTTAGGCATGCTCTGCTAGGGCCCAAAATGATTTTTAAAGCACATCTACGGAAAATGTGCGTGTATTCTTGCACCCATTCCATTTACTCCTGCCATTGGGATATATGGGCAGATAGATTTATGCTGCTTCAACTCCTAACCTGTTTACATGCTTCAGGGTGCTCATATGTCTCTGCTGTGCCTATGCAAACATATCTATTGAAGAATTTGGCCCATTGTCACTACCTAGTTCTGCCTGGTATAAAAAATGATACATCCAGAAAGCTACTTTTCCCTCTGTAACATATGGTTGGGAGGAGAGCATTTAACTACCTGTTTCAAAATATACCACAACAGCTGTGCAAATGACATTTTTCTGTAATCTGTTACACTGACGAGTAGAATATTTATGGATCTTAGTTGATGGAAATGTAAAAATGCACAACCTGTACCAAATTGCCTCTCCGTGCATGCCCATAATTTTGTGCATGCATGTAATAATACTTTGCTAAATCAGTGGTTGATGTGCAGGCGCAAATTTGGGTCCCTGTGGTATGTTCCTAAATTCCCAGCGAAGGCAATAGGAGTTTGAGGGAAATAAGGAGCATAGGACTAGGTCATCTTCTTGAGTCCACTAATCAAGTAGGTGGACCCAGAAATGTTTCAGTTTGTGACCACAGATTACTGTACATCCCAGTGCCGTAAGCACCTGGAAGGAAATGCCGACTTGGAACACTTTGCAAGACCAAAGTACTGGACTATGTAGCACTTTAAAGACTAACGAGATGGTTTATTAGATGATGAGCTTTCGTGGGCCAGACCCACTTCCTCAGATCAAATAGTGGAAGAAAATAGTCACAACCATATATACCAAAGGATACAATTTTAAAAAAAGGTAACACACATGAAAAGGACAAATCACATTTCAGAACAGAAGGCGGATGCGGGGGGGGGGGGGGCAATAATTATCACCTCTAATACCATTAGCTCACAGACACTTACCTTCCCCCTGCCCCCCGCATCCCCCATCACCTACAACCCCCAACTTAAACCTGTCCAACACATTATCAATAAACTACAGCCTATATTGGAACAGGATACCATACTCAAAGAGGCTCTGGGAGACAGACCCATAGTCTCCTATAGACAACCACCTAACCTCAAGATGATTCTTACCAACAACCACAGGACATACCACACTAATACCAACCCTGGTACCTTCCCTTGCAACAAACCCCGTTGCCAGCTTTGTCCACATATTCATTCTGCTGATACCATTATTGGACCCAACCAAGTGAGTTATAAGATCAAGAACACATATCCCTGCGCATCCAGAAATATAATCTATGCTATCATGTGCCGAAAGTGTCCGTCTGCTATGTACATTGGACAAACATCTCAGACACTTCGCCAAAGGATTAATGCCCACAAAACAGATATCAGACAAGATCACAAAGAAAAAACAGTTTCTTGCCATTTTAACCAGAAAGGACACTCTCTCAATGACTTAACCACCTGCATTCTGCTACAAAGACCTTTTACATCTGCACTTGAAAGGGAATCCTCTGAACTGTCATTCATGTTAAAATTCGACACTTACCACCAGGGACTTAACAAGTCTTTGAACTTTCTCACCCATTATCAAGACAGTTTCCCCAATTATCACCTGTAATACCATTAACTCACAAACATCCCACTCTCCCTACCTCTAATATCATCAATTCACAGACACTTACCTTCCTTCCTCCCCCTTCCCACCCCCCCCCCTCCTCCTTCTGTTCTGCAATGTGATTTGTCCTTTTCATATTTGTTCTTTTTTTTAATTGTATCCTTTGGTATATATGGTTGTGACTACTTTCTTCCACTATTTGATCTGAGGAAGTGGGTCTGGCCCACGAAAGCTCATCATCTAATAAACCATCTCGTTAGTCTTTAAAGTGCTACATAGTCCTGTATTTTGTTTCCGCTACCCCAGACTAACATGGCTGCATTGCTATCACTATTCTACTTGCAAGACCAGGCCTTTAGAGTGCGGCGTGAGAGCTTGTATGGTCATGCAGGTCTCCTGAGCTCTGCTATCGTTTTAGGGCAGGCACAGCTGGGACTCCTCAAGTCAGCTGGCACTAGTGTGTGAAATCTCAGGTACCCCAGTTGAGTGCTAAGCCCTGAAATCTGTAAGTCTGTGGCTTGGAAGGGAGCTTTGCCTCTTTGCCTAAAGAGCATGACTTTGGTGTCTGGTCCACTGCTTTCCTGTTGCTTCTGTCCATGAAACCTGGTTTCAGGATGAGCTGTGAGGTTAATACATTGGCATGATGCTCTTGCTTCAATCCCCTTCTCTCTGCTCTCTGTGACAGAAAAAAAATCTGGTTTTTGTGAGGTTAATACATTGGCATGATGCTCTTGCTTCAATCCCCCTCTCTCCGCTCTCTGTGACAGAAAAAAAAAACTGTTTTCTTTGCTCAAGCCTCGTGCAATGCTACCTAAAAAGGGGAAACGACTGAAATCTTGGCTCCTTGTTCTCCTGGGGGTGAACGTTGGGTCATGTCCAAACATTCCCAAACAGCCTGAATAAGAGGAGCTGGTTTACTCCCTGCACAAGTAGTGGGAATTAGGTTTTTGTCCCAAACTGTTTCCTTAGAACATCATAGAATACTAGAACTGGAACGGACATTCAGAGTCATCAAGTCCAGCCCCTAGTCCTCACGGCAGGACCAAGTACCATTTAGACCAAGGCTACTCAACTTTGGAAGTTCTGGGGGCCACAATGATCTCACAGCGCATGCCAAAAGCCACAATTTAAGTGTGGTTGCATATACATGCAAATATATGCAAATAGCGTCTTTCACACTGACGGGCATGACACAAAGTACTTCCCACATTGCTGCAGCACTCCCGGCACCTCCTCCCTATGGGCTAGAAACGCCGACACCCTGTACCCGTCTGTTCCAGCCAGCCCGTCCACTTGCGACTTTCAACGCTCATCCTGCCTGGGAGACATCTCGCCGTTGTGGAGTGTGTTCCCATTGAGACCATGTTCAAAGGATCCCACCTGCAGGCCACGTGTTGAGCCCTGCATAAACCCAAACCACACCGTGTTGAGTAGCCCTGATCCAGACCCCCCCCGACAGGTGTCTGTCTAACATGCTCTTCAATTTCTCCAGTGATGGAGATTTCACAACCTCCCCAGGCAATGTATTCCAGTGTTTAACCACAAGAAGACTAGGAACTACATGTGAAAGCAGCAGCACCACTGTTTCCCCCTGGTTTTGAAACTGGGATCTTTCGCATGGTAGACAGTCTGATAACCATGACACCCCAGAAACCAACACTTGTACTGTACAGAAACCAAGCTGCTTCTGCGCACCAACCCTCATGCAGTATATCGGGGGACCCTCGTGTTTCAGCTCATCTTTTGAACCTAACAGAAGTATCATCATATCGGAAACTGCCCTTATTACACGGTTTGGCAGCTGTGGGTTGAAAACACTGTCTAGCACTCTGGCCGGCATTGTTTCCTTGTGCTCCCTGTCTGTAGCCAGAGGACTGGTCTGAGACATAGAGACTGGGTTGCTAAGCCTGGCCTGCTGGGTGACCTTGGGCAAGTTACCCCTCCCCTCTGTGCCTCAGTTTCCCCATCTGTAAAAGAGGCACATGATCCTTTGTAAAGCGTGCAGAAATTTACTGATGACAAGTACAGTAAAACTCCAGTGGTCCGGCATCCAATGGTCCGTCATTCCTGATAGTCTGGCGCCATCTGGAACCTGGAAGTGCTCCAGGCAGCTGGACAATTGGAGCTGGTCTGCCCCCGGCTACCCCGAGTCAGCCACTGGTCAGTTTCAGCAGCGTCTGACTTGGGGAAGTCTGGGGCAGAGCAGCTAGGGTGCTACCGGGTGGGTCCCACAGTGCCGAGGGGCGCATCCCCCCCACTCCACCCCAGACCCCTCATAGCCCCCCCTTTTGATAGTCCGGCATATCTGATCATCTGGCACCCCCTGGGTCCTAAAGGTGCTGGATTATCGGAAGTTTACTGTACTATGGCAGAGCGAGGTATGATTATTGCTGTCTGCCTGTTGTTTCTGTTCTTACACTTGGCACTTTGGGGGCTGTCTGTTTGTTCTCTGTACAGCACCCAGGGGGGCTCTGTTCCATGACTAGAGCTCCTACATCCTACTACCATGCAAGTAACATCTAATTGTATTGCTCCAATAGTCACTTAAGCTTCAGACTGCCCCATATGTGTATGGTTTATTGGATACGTGGCAGCTCCTAGAGGCCTTAGCCAGCTCTGTGGTGCTAGGTGCTGTACAGACATACACCAAAGAGACAGCCCCTGCCCTGAAACACTTACAATCGAAGTATAAGATGAGAAACAGCCGGTGGATGCAACAAACAGGCAGGAGCAGCAGGCCCAGTGTGAGGATACTTGACTCACTAGTCCAGAAAAGACTTGCAAGGTATTAGCTGGGCTCGGGCTTCTTGCTCATGCGGCTGGAAAGTGGGTCAGAGAGCGTGAGCGAGAGACGCCGCAGCGGAGGGAATGAATGCAGCCAGCTGGCCCGTGTGTCCCTGCAGCGCCACGCTGGGCTCAGAAGGCAGCGTTGGCTGCCAGGGATTGGCGGTGTGATCAAACGCCTTCCACAGGGCGCCTCTCCCACACGTTCGTTGCCAGGAACTCCAGCTTTGGCTGCCAGGGATTGGCGGTGTGATCAAACGCCTTCCACAGGGCGCCTCTCCCACACGTTCGTTGCCAGGAACTTGAGGCGCCGCCGTTAGCAGCAGCAGCTGACAGAAAAGCCGCAGGGCACTTCATAAGCTGGTGCTGAGACCGTTGTTCCCCTGACCCCTGCTACTCTCAGCTCACACTGCACTGCCAGAAATTGGGATAGGCAGATAACTTCTTGCTTGCCGGATCAGGGAGGGGCTTGGCACCCTTTTCCTTTCTATTATTTCCCTTCCTTTCCACTGAGAAATAGCCAGGGGTTACTCTTATTTTCTTCTCATTCCTTTTTTTTTTTCTTTTTTTTTTTTGCATTTCCCAGAGGCAAGGGAGCATGCCATCGACCTGACCTCCTCTTATACTCTTATCCTTTTGCCTTCTGTTTCTCTTCAGTTCATTTATGAGGACTCTGTAGACACAGAGGGATGCCTGGCTGGTTAAGTGCGAGTTTAAGCTGCAACAGCAAAGGGAAGGATTTTACCTGTCTCCTGGAAGACAATAATCCAGCATCTGTCCATATCAATTGGAATTGCAGGGCAAGATTAGGCATTAACCTGTGATTTTAATCCATTGGAACCTAGTTTCCCCAGTTTAGCCCAAATGTCCCTGAAATCAAAGAGCAGAAGGATGATTCTAATCCTTGTTTCAGGAATCTTAGGGATATGGAGGCCAAATTCCTCCCTGGAGTAGAGGAGGTGAGAGGAAAAAAGTGATTAATGCACTAGATTGGGGCTTCCTGGCTCTGCCAGGCAGATGGGCAACATAAGAACATGAGCACAGCCAGACTGGGTCAGACCAAAGACCCATCTAGCCCAGTATCCTGTCTGCTGACAGTGGCCAATGCCAGATGCCCCAGAGGGAGTGAACAGAACAGGGAATCATCAAGTGATCCCTCTCCTGTCATCCATTTCCAGCCTCTGACTATCAGAGGCCAGGGACACCATTCCTACCCATCCTGGCTAATAACCATTGATGGACTTAACCACCATGAATTTATCTAGTTCTTTTTTGAATCCTATTAAAGTCCTGGTCTTCATGACATCCTCTGGCAAAGAGTTCCACAGGTTAACTATGCGCTGTGTGAAGAAAAACTTCTTGTTTGTTTTAAACCTGCTACTTATTCATTTCATTTGGTGACCCCTAGTTCTTATGTTATGGTAAGACACTTAATCTCTCTTATGCTTTGGTCCCTACATGGTAAGGGAGAATGACACCAGGTCCCTTATGCCTCCTGCAAGGAGTTTTACAGGATCTATCGAAAAAGGCTTTCTTTCTCCACAGATCCCCCTCTAGACTGCCACTTTTTGCCAACAAAGTGCTGAGTTGGCAAAACACGGTGGCCATTTTTATGCAAATTAGGCATAGGATATTTAAATCCCTGCCTCATTTGCAATGTCAAACTGCCTAATCTGCATCCCTCTGCCGACAGAGAGATGCAGTCTAGACATACCCAGTTATTTTCATCTTTATGAGTGCAGCACCTCCCAAACAACTGAACGAAACTTGCCTTTTAGTTGAGTGATTTACCAGTCTCAGAACGAGTCCAAAGGCCTGTTTCAAGATAGGCCCCGCACTAGTCACCAATACAGTGGTATGAAGACAGCATCTTACTCCTGACGTCTGCTGGGAAGAGACACAATCGCATTTTGTTTTCAAAACCCCTATCAGCTGTGCAAATCCAACCTGGCTGTTAAATTTACGCTCTTTCATCTCCCTTTCATGTTACAATTATAAATCAGTAATTTCTTGTTGCTTAATTAGCTAGCAGACTGGAAATGACATTAATCACTGCAACGTTGCTGGGATAGACTGACTGTAATTTGATCATGTCACAAGAACCTCACCACCACAAATCATTTCACAGCTTGATGCCAACTTCCTTTAAATATCACAGTGGTATATTCCAGTCGGTTCACAGACCATTTAGGAATCGTTCCTAAAAATACACATCGCTCAAAATATGGGACTAGAGCCAAACCCCTCCTCCCACCAACTCCTCTGGACTTCAAAGTAGTTTTGATCCAGAAGTCAATCAAGTTTTGAATTGCTAGCAACATGGAACCCCTTTGAATTTGCAAGGTGTGTACAGTCGCAGAAGACAGGAAACACGCCATAGAGTAATATGCACTTGTTTGTACGTCCTTACAGTTCATTTTCCAGCACTGAGAAGGTGAGCAGAAGCACTGGTATCAATGCTTGTAGAATAGCAATAGAAATGTAGCCGTGTTAGTCTGGTCTTGCTGAAACAAATAACCCATCTTGTTAGTCTTTAAAGTGCTGCATAGTCCTGTCTTTTGGTAGCAATGCAGCTTTCCTGACACCCCCTAGAAGAGAGAATCCAGCCACAAAATACTTCCTCGCTGCCAGGATGGCTTGTTGATCTTCATCATTGCTCCCCCTGGTGTGAAACCAGGCAGGAGAGCAGCCTCGTGTGCATGTCTAAGGCGGGAACTGTTGAGGAGGAAAAACATGGAGGTGGCCTGGAGGCAGGGAGACCTGGATTTTTGAGGGGAATTTGGGATGTGAAGTGGGGGCTGATGATGCATGGAGGGCAGGAGAGTCTGTTGGGAAAAGACGGGAAGATTATTCTGATCTCACACCAGTTGAGCACCGGTTGTGACTCCAATGAGCATTGTGGAGTCACGTCTGGTTTCAGCTGGTGTCAGGCCTCCTCTCTCTGGTTCTCCATTGTAGCTGCCTGTGGGTGAGTGGGTCTCTGAGGGTTACATACCTCAGCCTGGCTTTCGTCTCCTTGTAACGCTTCCTCTCTGCTTGCACTCGGCAGGAAAGCAGTAAAGGCGACATTAGTCCTCCTGCCTCTCCTGGGCATCACCTACATGCTGTTCTTTGTCAACCCAGGCGAAGATGATATTTCCCAGATAGTCTTCATCTACTTCAATTCCTTCTTGCAGTCTTTTCAGGTAGGCGAAAATGCTTAATTGCATTCTAGGGCACTGCTAGAGGGATCCTCAGTGCTCTTAGCTGTGAAGCTTGGGGCAACGAGAGCCCCTTTGTAGAAATAACTAGCTAAACAGGTTGGCTTAGCGTCTACGCTCATTGATACAGGGGCTGTCTTTTGCTTCTGTTTGTACCGGGCCTAGCGGAATGAGACCCCTTGCTCCATGCTGGGGCAGGTAGGTGCCATTGCAATACGTGTAACTAATCATTTTCTTTTCATGTTTGTTTCAAGTGATTTCTGGTTGTACGTAGTGTGTCACACATGGCGGAGACCCCTGCCAGAGAGACAGGACTTTATTTGATCAAGAGTTTTGCTGTACTAGTCAGTGTCCTGCCCCACCTCACGTGCAGTGGCATGGGCTCTAATCTGAAGTAGAACATCCCAAACTTGTTGCTAAGTGGAGCATGTGTAATGTCAAGAGGCGGAATCAAACCTGGGACCTCTGGACCTTAGTGCAGGAGCCTCTACAGCAGGGGTGGCCAATCTGTGGCTTGTGAGCCGCATGCGGCACTTCAAAGAAAAATTGCGGCACCCACACTGCGGCTCACAGTTCTTGAAGGGGCAATGTCTGCTCTGTTCTTAAAAGGGCAAATTGGGGTTTTGGGGGGGGGGTTGCTTGACCAAACACAAAACAGCTTTTTTCCCCTCAGCTCTTTGCACTGTATCCACCACTATTCTGGCTTTTCATCTGTAACGGGTTGGCCACCCCAGCTCTACAGCTTGAGCTAAAAGCCAGCGGGTGCTCAGCTGAGGCTGTCGAAAAAATTCATTTTCTCAGTATGTGGCCTAAGTGCCACTACATGGGATGGTGAACCGCACCTAGTATGTGTGTGCACCCCTGTTGCTGAAGTCAGTGGGAGTTTTGCCATGACTGTGACAGCACCAGGAATCAGGTTTGAATGCGCAATGAGCAGTAGTAAGAGCTCTCTGGGGCAAGCACACGGACTCTTCAAATTTAGACGTGTCATTCTCCTTCCTGAATAGACACCTGCATTCTGGATTGCCAATGACTTCCAAGGGAGCTGGGTCAGTCCCTAATGCAGGGGTACAGCCAAGAACAGCAGGGCAGATACATGTAGCAGTAGTTGGGAACGGCAGCTGAAGGGTGGGGTCTAGGACTGTGAGGGTACATCTAAACTACATGGCTCCGTCGACAGAGCCATGTAGATTAGTGTACTCAAAAAAGGGAAATGAAGCGGCGATTTAAATAATCGCCTCTTCATTTACATAAAATGGCCACCGCGCTGTTACGATCAGCTGTTTGGCGGCACGGCGTCGTAGTCTGAATGCTCCATGGTTGACAAGGGAAACCCTTGTCGACTGCCCCAGTAAACCTCATTCTACAAGGCATAACGGGGCGGTCGACAAGGGATTCCCTTGTTGACCGCGGAGTGTCCAACTACCGCGCCATGCCGCCAAACAGCTGATCGGCACGGCACGGCAGCCATTTTGATGTAAATGAAGTGGCAATTATTTAAATCACCACTTAATTTCCCTATGTCTAGAAACCTCATCTACATGGTTCCGTCGACGGAGCTATGTAGTCTAGACATACCCTGAGTTCTAAAAGCTTTCTGACATGGACAATTATTTCATATTTGGAGCTGAAGCTCGAAGTGTCTCTCCAGTATCAGAAGCACAAAAGCAAAGAAGAAAACCAGCCCATTTAAGCTGTGAAAGGGGAGATTTTGTACCTATGCAATAAGATGTACTACATTTTTCATTGTATAAAATAAACTTTTTTACCAGCTGGAATATTTTACCAGCTCAGGCTTGCTGCCTGCAGAAGAAATGATTGGTTTAGGAAGAGGAGGCTGCAGAGGGCTATGTGAAAGAGAGAACATCAGGGAAATAGGTCTATGCGGTGATATGGAGTGGTACAGCCCATTGCTCAGAGTAAATCTCCATCGTTGCAATAGACAGTATATTTCTCTTTCACGTGCTAGAGGAAGGCTCTGATTCTGTGCAGGCTTCAGTGGGAGTAAGCTGTTGCGGTATAGCCTTTCTGGGCATTCCCTTTGTGGTCAGAATGGGGATCTCAGGCCTGGTTTTCACTCTGTGGAAAATCAACGCTGCTGCGATTGATCTTCCGGAGTTCGATTTAGCGAGTCTAGTTAATACTCACTAAATTGAACTCAGAGAGACCGCCGCCAGCGTCCGGTTCTCCTGCTCTTACAAGGAATAAGCGAAAGCGACAGGAGCATTTGCTCCCTGCTGTGGGGATGCTGCCAAGCTCAGCTGCTGGTGTAACCACTACCAGGTGCATTTGAACTTCGACTGCGATTGATCTTCCGGAGTTACCTTGAGCTATAAAGCCAGCTGGCTCTTGGCTTAGGCTGTAGAGCTCCCTTGTTGTTACTTCTCACTGTAAGTGCCACTGCATGGGACAGTGAACCATACTAGGGCTATGTCTAGACAACATCCCTCTTTCAAAAGAGGGATGTAAATTAGACACATCAAAATTGCAAATGAAGCTGGGATTTGAATTTCCCGTGCTTCATTTGTATAATTGCGTCACGGCATTTTTTCGAAAAACACTATTTTTTTAGTATTTTTTAGTCTAGACGCAGTTCTTTTGAAAAGAAAAGCCTTTTTCGAAAAATCCTGTAAACATCATTTTTTGAGGAGTACAGGATCCTTTGAAAAAGGCTTTTCTTTTCGAAAGAACTGCATCTAGACTGAATAGCATTTTTCGAAAAAACGCCGTGGCGCACAAAATAGCATTTTTTGAAAAAACACCGAGGCGCGATTATGCAAACAAAGCACGGGAAATTCAAATCCCAGCTTCATTTGCAATTTCAATGTGTCTAATTTACATCCCTCTTTTGAAAGACGTACCCTAGGTGAGTGAGTTACACTGGGTCTAATGTAAAGCTGGCCTTAGGGACATGACCCTGTCCTGGAAAGAGACAAATCATCATAGGCTCTTTGGGTCTGGAACTCACCTCTTTGTTCAGTGTTTTACAGTGCCCTGTGTGGGGGGAGGTGTTCTTT